ATCTGATGGTTTTTATAAAGGGAAACCCATTTCACTTGGCGCTCTCTCTTTCCTCCCACCACCATGTAGGAAACACCTTTCACCTTCTGCCATGATTGTGAGGTCTCCCCCACCACATGGAACTGTGAGTCCATTGAACCTCTTTTTCTTTACAAATTACCCAGTCTTGGGTTTGTCTTTGTCAGCAAGATGAAAACGGACTAATACAGTAAGTTTGGAGGGCTCAGAAGAAGACAAGAAAATGTGGGAAAGTTAGAACTTACTAGAGACTTATTGAATGGCTTTGAACAAAATGCTGATAATTATATGGACAATGAAATTCAAGCTCAGGTGGTCTCAGATGAAGATGAGAAACTCATTGGGAACTGGAGTAAAGGTGACTCTTGCTACGTTTTAGCAAATAGACAAGCAGCATTTTGCCCCTGCACTAGAGATCTGTGGAACTTTGAACTTGAGGGAGATGAGTTAGGGCATCTGGTGGAAGAAATTTCTAAGCAACAAAGCATTCAAGAGGTGACTTGGATGCTGTTAAAAGCATTCAGTTTTAAAAAGGAAACAGGGCATAAAAGTTTGGAAAATTTGCAGCCTGGTGATGGGACAGAAAAGAAAATCCCATTTTCTGAGGAGAAATTCAAGCCAACTGTAGAAATCTGCACAAGTAACCAGGAGCCAAATGTTAATTCCAAAGACAATGAGAAAAATATCTCCAGGGCATGTCAGAGAACATTGCAGAAGCCCCTCCCATCAGATGCCTGGAGGCCTAAAAGGAAAAAATGGTTCCCTGGGCCAGGCATAGGATCCCACTGCTGTGTTCAGCCTAGAGACTTGGTGCCCTGCATCCCAGATTCTCTAGCCATGGTTAAAAGGGGCCAAGGTACAGCTTCAGTCATGGCTTTAGAGGGTGCAAGCCCCAAGTCTTGGCAGCTTCCATGTGTCATTGGCTGCTGTGAGGGCACAGAAGTCAAGAACTGAGGTTTGGGAACCTCCACCTAGATTTCAGAGGATGTATGGAAATGCCTGGATGTCCAGGCAGAAGTTTGCTGCAGGGGCAGAGCCCTCATGGAGAACCTTTGCTAGGGTAGCATGGAAGGGAAATATGGAGGGGAAGCCCCTAAAACAGAGTCCCTACTGTGGCACTGCCTAATGGAGCTGTGAGAAGAGGGCCACCACCCTCTAGACCCTAGAATCATAGATCCACCAACAGCTTGCACAGTGCCCCTAGAAAAGCTGCAGACACTTAACCCCAGCCCATGAGAGCAGCTGGGAGGGAGGCTGTACCCCACAAAGTCACAGGGGTGGAGCTGCCCAAGATCATAAGAACCCAGTTCTCACATCAGTGTGACCTGGTTGTGAGACATGGAGTCACAGGAGATCATTTTGGAGCTTTAAAATTTGACTACTCTACTGGATTTTGGAATTGTGTGGACCCTGTAGCCCTGTCGTTTTGGTCAATCTTTTCCTTTTGGAACAAGTTTTCTAACAAATGGCTGCACCCCCATTTTATCTAGGAAGTAAATAACTTACTTTTGATTTTACAGGCTTGTAGGCAGAAGGGGCTTGCCTTATTTCAGATGAGACTTTGGACTGTGGACTTTTGAGTTAATGCTGAAATGAGTTAAGACTTTGGGAGACTGTTTGGAAAGCATGATTGTGTTTTGAAATGTGAGCACATGAGATTTGGGAGGGGCCAGGGATGGAATGATATGGTTTGCCTGTGTCTTCACCCAAATTTCATCTTCATTTGTAGCTCCCATAATTCCCATGTATTTGTACAAGGGGCCTGGTGGCAGATAATTGAATCATGGGGGTGGTTTTCCCAATACTGTTCTTGTGGTAGTGAGTAAGTCTCATAAGATCTGATGGTTTTATAAAGGGAAACCTCTTTTGCTTGGCTCTTTCTCTCTCTTGCCAAGTAGTGCCTTTCACCTCTGCCATAATTGTAAGGCCTCCCCAGCCAGGTGGAACTGTGAGTCCACTAAATCTGTTTTTCTTTATAAATTACCCAGTCTCTGATATGTCATTATCAGCAGTGTGAAAATGGACTAACACAGTTTCTGAACCTTGGCTATTACAAACAGTGCTGCAACAAACATAGGGGTGAAGATGTATCTTCCATATACTGATTTCCTTTCTTCTGAGTGTATAATCCAGGTACCACTGGATTATATGGTATCTCTATTTTTAGTTTTTGTGTGGAACCTCAAAACTGTTCTTCAGAATGATTGCACTAATTTATATTCCCACCATAAGTGTATAAGGTTTCCCTTTTTACATCCTCACCAGTATTTGCTATTGCCTGTCTTCTGGATAAAAGCCATGTTAACTAGGGTGAGATGATATTTCATTGTAGTTTTGATTTGCATTTCTCTGATGATCAATAATGTTGAGGACCTTTTTATATACCTATTTACCACTTATATAACATCTTTTCAAAAATGTCTGTTTAACTTTATTACCGACTTTTTAATCAGATTATTAGATTTTTTTTTTCTTATAAAAGTTGCTTGAGCTCATTATATATACTGGTTACTAATTCATTGCCAGATGGGTAGTTTACAAACATTTTCTACCATTCTATGGGTTGTCTCGTTACTTTGTTGATTGTTTCCTTTGCTATGCAGAAGGCTTTTAACTGGAGGTGACCGCATTTGTCCATGCTTGCTTTGGTGCCCTGTGCTTGTGGAGTAGTACTCAATAATTTTTTTGTCCAGACCAGTGCCTGGAGAGTTTCCTCGGTGATTACTTGTGGTAGTTTCACAGTTTGAAGTCTTAGATTTAAGCCTTTAATCCATTTTGATTTGATTTTTCTATATGGTGAAAGATAGTCTAGTTTCACTCTTCTGCATATGGATATTCAGTTTTTCCAGCACCATTTATTGAAGAGGCTCTTTCCCCAGTGTGTGTTCTTGGCACCTTTCTTGAAAACGAGTTCACTGTGTATCTATGGATTTGTTTCTGGTTTCTCTATTCCGTTCCATTGGTCTGTCTGTTTTTATGCCAGTACCATGTTGTTTGTGTTACCATAACTGCAGTATGATTTGAAGTAGGTAATGCAATTTCTTTTGTTTTGTTTCGTTTTTTCACTTAGAATAGCTTTAGCTATTCTGGGTCCTTTTTGGTTTCATATAAATTTTAGGTTTGTTTTTCTATTTCTCTGAAAAGTGTCATTGGTATTTTGATAGAGATTACATTGAATCTGTAGATTATTTTGAGTAATGTGGATGTTTTAACAATATTGACTCTTCTAATCTATGAACATGGAATATCTTTCCCTTTTTTGGTGTATCTTCAATTTCTTTCAACAATGTTTTATGGATTTTATTAGATCTTTGACTTCTTTTGTTAAGTTAATTCCTAAGTACTTAATTTTATTTGTGGCTATTGTAAATGAATTACTCTTTTGATTTCTTTTTCAGATTATTTACTTTTGGCACATAGAAATACTACTAATTTTTGTATGTTGTTTTGTATCCTGCAACTTTACTGAATTTGCTTATCGGTTCTGATGGTATTTTGGTGGTGACTTTAGGTTTTTCCAAATATCATATAATCTGCTAACAAGGATAATTTTACTTCTTATTTTCAATTTGGATGCCTTTTACTTCCTTCATTGTTATTCAACATAGAACTTCACAGTACTATGTTGACTATCAGGTCAATGCCCTGGAGAATAAAAATGGGCAACCTTGTTATGATCTAGACCTTAGAGGAAAGGATTTCAGTTAAGATGTATATTTTCATATTTCATCTACAATTATTAAAATAAGCATAGCTTTTAAGTATTATTAGCATTAAGAATATCTAAAACAAAAACTGAACATATTAATACATTTATTTCTATATTATCGAGAATTTAGGGAAAAAATAAGAAAATAAGCTTTTTAAAAGAACGATAGGCCACACATGGTGTCTCACACCTTTAATGCTACCACTTTGTCCGGAGGGCAGATTGCTTGAGCCCAGGAGTTGGAGACCAGCCTAGGCAACATGGCACAACCCTTTTCTACTAAAATATACAAAAATATACTAGCTGGGTATAGTGGTACGTGCCGGTAGTTGCAGCTCCTTGCAAGGCTGAGGTGGAAGGATCGGCTGAACCCAGGAAGTCAAAGGCTGCAGTGAGCTGAGATTGCATCACTGCACCCCAGCCTGGGCAACAGGAATGAGACCCTGTCTCAAAAAGATAAATAACTGAAAGAAAAGAAAAAAGGCTAAAACTATAATTCACTTAATCATAAGTAAAATGTTTTACCTTCTAAATAGAGAAGCTATAAAACCTCATAAAAGACCATACTATTAGTGGAAATCTGAATAAAAGAAAGATGTACCATAATATTGGGCAAGAAGATGCATGTTTAAAGGTACCTATTCTTTTGGAATCAACGTATGATTTTAAAATTCTAACTAATACTCTCTTTTTATAAGGAGAATAATATGAACTATTTTCGAATAGTGAAGAAATAACGGAAAAGTAAAGTGACACAATCGGAACTGTCTCAATAATTATTCCATTAGCAATATATTCTAATGCCGCCATAATCAAATTAGTATTGTAGTAACAAGCTCAGGTGGTTAGATCAGTGCACAACACAGATAATTCAGAAATAGGTCTGAGTGTATATGAGAATGTAACATATAAAACAGCTAATATTTTAATTCATAGGAAAGGATAGTTAATTTTATAAATTGTGCAGGCATATGTGGTGATGCATCTGGAGTAAAACTGTCACATCTGTAACACATATATTCTGTTTGGCTTCAAGTCTCCCTACTGATGAAAATGTGAATAGTTTCAAACTTTGGCAAAGCGTTTAAAAACAAATATTAAAATTAAAGCTGCACATACACTTTTTTTGGTCTATCAGTTGCATTCTATTACTCTATTTCTTGGAACTGAATTTGCTTTCTGTGAGACTTTATATGTAATAATATTTATTACTGCATTTTTCATAATAACCAAAAAAGGAATAAAAGAATACAAATACAGTATATGCCCAAACGTGCGATGTCAAGGACTCCATAAATAAATTACATTTAAAGTCTGCATCATGGAATAATATCTAAACGTTCAAATTATTATTAATGCATTTCATTTTCTTCTTCTCCACTTTACAAATTTTGTTTTTAATATATTTTCATCTCAGAAAAAAATGTAGACTAAACTTTAATTTTCCCAGGTCTACTTCTTAATTCCATACTCCACAGTCCTGCTTCACTATTGGTATCAATGCTGTTTTCCTCCTCACCATCAATGCTTGCTCACTATGACTACTTATCACAAATCCAACTATTTATAAGTTTCACATATTCTAAAACAAAAAAAAAAGAAAACAGGATATACAAAGATAAAACTCCCTTCTAATGTTCTGCTGCATCAAGCTGAACTTTCTCTGCTTTTATCACCTTAGAATCCTGTCCATTCTGTTAAAGTCTTCACCAGTCATTTGTTAATAAGACTCCAGGCACCGGGCTAGTCTTTCACAGGTCCGCCTCCATAACACCAAAACCAAGACTCTGCCAGTATTCATGATCTTTGACCTCTGTGCATATGACACAATTGACCATAAAGCCTTCTGGAAGCAATGACATGAAAAACCACTTCAGTAGCAGAAAGAGAAAGGACAAAACACATTTTAGAAATATTTAAGTGGCAAAATCAAATCAACTGATGATTGACTGACCGACTACATGAAGGAATTCAGTGACTCACTGGGTATCAGATAATGAAGACAGGAGTTATGTGAACCTGTTTTTGGGATTTGGCTAGAGTGTGATACTAGCTGTTTTTCCCCTCACCATCAATGCTTTCTCCCTGTGAATCAAAACAGATTTACACGTTATGAAAGAAGGTTAGGATTTATGTGGAAGTGATGAAGCATTTGTAAACCTGTGAGATTATCATAACACATCATATTTAATCAGATGTCTATGAGTCTGAAGATCATAGCAAAATATCATAATATTTATGAAATGGCTAAATTATTCTAGGAGAGATATGAGTGGGGTAAAATGTTGGTCAGGAATAGCCTTGTGGAAATATCAAAGTTTTATGAATATATATATTAAAAGAAACTCATGGGGAAAGAAAAGATAAATGGAGAATTTGACCTGAATATTTTCTATTTGATCCTTTAGATCCTCTTTCCACCCAACTCCACACTGCCCCATGCTTCAGGATCAAAGTCTGGTGACACGTTTATGCCTGCTGTCCCAGTTTAATTATGAACGATATACTTTCTTATTATAAAAATGTCCTTATTTTAACTGTACATTATATGGTTATCCAAACCAGGACTCCTTGGTTTCTCTTTGATTTCAGCCACCAGAGATCAGACGGAGGGAAGAGAAGGAGGTCAGAAAATTTGTTTCTGTGGCATCCTTTTTGACTTGTTACATTTGGTTGGTGGTTGTTCCTACTCGCCCCAGCTGATGCTAGCCACTGATAGGGAACAGGGAATGAGGAAGGTTCCATATGATCCCCATTGGAAGGGGCTATGTGTCCTTCCAATTGGTGCAGGGGTATGGGCAGATCAATCTTGATTGGTGCAGGGGTATGGGCAGATCAAAGACAGTGTAGTGTCAAGAAAGTCAAGAAAGAAATTTCCAAGACTTGTGTAATACACGGAGGTGGGCAAAGCAAATGCAAGAGGTAGTCCAGCAAGACAAGGAATAGGTAGTCAAAATTATGAACAGTCATAAAATGTATGGCAATTATAAATTTTGGTTCAGGTAGAGACAACACATAAACATACATTAGGCATAAAATATTAAAAAAGAAAATAATTAGGCAGAAAAATAGAAAGCTTTTCTGTTTAGTTCAACAATTATTAATGACCTCCTATTCTGATTTTAGGGGTCATTGTCTGAAATACATGTAGGGAACAAATTATAGAAAGGTGAAACTAGGGAATTCACTATATATTGATATAATTTATTTGAGTTTGAACCTATTTATACTTAATCACGTTTGGAAAAATACAGGCAGATAGAGAATTTTTGTGGACATATTATTCTGAACAAACATACTTTTGCCCCACTTATGAAGACTTACTTTCATCAAAGTTATAGAAATACTTTGGCATCAATATTTGGCATCAATCAGCAGATATGGAAGGTAATAAGTTGTTTAGCTATGTTTTAATCCTCTTCTTGATGTGCTCACTGACTCTTATAAACTGAAAATATGAATGGCTAAAATAAAATAAACTTTATATGATTACTAGAACCAATACTAATAACTCCTAGAAAGCAAAGACATACACAAATATCTAAAAACATGGCAAATTGCTGGAGGACGATTGTGGAGAAAAGTTAAATTAGCAGAATATAAGAAGTTTGGCATTTTCAGGAATTTAGAAGCCAGAGTAATTAGCCAGTCAAAGAAAGAGTTCGGTCCCGCCACCTCTTCCCAAGTTCTCATCATTTTTTAAGGATTTGGTACATCTGGGGATTCTGATAGCTAAGCCCTGTATCCAATTTAGAAAGAGCATTCCTAATGTTAGCTGAAGGCAGTGGAGTAGAAATTTATCACTAAGGAACGAAATGCATTCCTTCTGGCAGAAAGCTGCTTAGAGGAATGTATTTTGTGTGGTATAAAAGTGCATGGAAATTTTAGTTGTATTTTTCTTTAAATCTACGAAAAACTTTATGTCTTTGAGGGACAAACCCTATGCAGCTATTGGGAAAATAGGAAACATCTTAAAGAAGAACAAACTTATCCAACATTGCACACTATTCTGTTTCCTACTTCATAGACCGGGCCACCTGAAATTATATAACCCAGCCAAACTTTAGATTCCTTGTATTTTCATACAGGTCTCCAGAAATGGGAATGATACTCTTGCTAAAATATCTGCTGTGCAGAGTCTATTCTGCTTAGAAAATGAGCAGAATCAAGAACCATAAATAGATACCATACCATCTTCCAAAATACTTTTAAAGAGGTTCCTATACCATTCAGTCTTCTGGGTTTGAATTAGAGCAAATGGTCAATGAATAAAGAGAGGAAGAATGGAGAGGGAACAGTATCTGACACCTAAAAACTCCCGGCAAGCACCAGCACATTTTTCCTTTTTAATAAAATGAGTTATTCTATTTTTGTTTCTTCTTCAAATTCGTAAAATAGTTTGAAAGGTACAATTTCAATGTGCCAAAGTGAAAATTTTCTCCCGTGATTAACAAATACTGTTACTGGCTGTGAGGCAGAAAGTAGTATATAAGCAGTGATTAAATATATTATTCGGGTAATAGTAAAAATCTGGTAAACCCTCACACATTTTAGAGAATCATAGAGCCTTCTACTTGTCCATAAATGTGAAGAGCAAACTTTTTGATTCTCTTAAAGTGGTTGAGCATGCCATTGTCACCTACTTTTCAGGAGGGAAGGGTACTAGAAGAATATTCCTATCCTCTGCTCACAAGTCACCCACTGGGTCACTCTTTCCTTGAGGACTTTTGGAAAATTGCACAATTGTGGATTGTCCTTTGCAAACAGCTGTGCTCATGACTTAAACACTGGTTTCTTTTATTGCAATGTGGGGGTTCTTAAGGGGTCCAGATTATCTTGTTGCTCAGAGAATGAATAAAATTTAGGTAGAGGGGCAGGAAAGTTCATTTTGAAGCCCAATAGCCCTCACGTTTAAGTCATGTTCTGTATTATTTTATTGGTAAAGAAGCTGGTATTTAATCTCCATCTGTCTGATTCCCAAATTTTATCTATCAGCATGTTTCGAATTTATAATAGGCTTGACGGTCAGAACAATATTCACTCCTAAAAATTCAAACACTTCCCACTTAGTATCAATTGTGCCTTTTCCTATAATTTCCATTAAAAATTCATGTTTTTTGCCTAATTCAATTAATAATTACGCAGAATAGAAATGCCAAGTCCATAAAATTGCTAGAAATTGGAATGTTTTGTGGAGTTAGTTTACTTTTCTCATGTTTCATATAACTCTCTTAACCATGTAGAATGTTCTGCCACAAGCAGAAGCTCAATAAGTTCTGCTGATTTGTTTTAACAAGTATAAAATGTGTTTTCTTTTGCCATGCAAAGCTGGCTTACTAGAAATAGTATTGACACAAGAAGGAAGTCAACATTTATGGTCTGAGCATTTCCAGTGTTAATATGCTTGAGTTCACAAAATGCAAACGACTAGGCTATAAAATGACTTTGTCTTTCACTAGTCAGGAAAAACTACCAAAAAGGTAATGTAAAAAAATATATAAACTGAGTAAGCACATGCCCTATTGCCACTTATACTTCTGCTTTTCTATGTAAGTCAAAATGTAGCTTATATAGGAACTGTCTAAAAACATATTACGGGAAGAATGATGTATGGATATTTACAGGAGAAAATCTGATGGTGCTTCAAGGAATGCCTTTCTGTATGTAAACAAGTCTTTAAGTCACAAGGCTCTTTGAAAAATGGCATGTTCTATTCAATGTAGATTCAATGAAAGAATCTCAGATTGCCAAAATCATTTTATGAAAAATGATAGCATTATGGTCCCACACCTTCATGTCTTCAAACACACACACACACACACACACACACATATCACACACACACACTTCTACTTGTCTATAAAGTTAAAGATGTGAAGAGTAAACTTTTTTCTTCTCTTGGAGGGGTTGAGCATGCCATTGTCACCAACTTTTCAGGAGGGAAAGGTACTAGAAGAATATTCCTATCCTCTACTCACAAGTCACCCACTGGGTCAGTCACTCTTTGTTTAAGGCCTTTTGGAAAATTGCACAACTATGGATTGTCCTTTGCAAACAGCTGTGTTCATGACTTAAACACACACACACACACACCCACCCCATATTATAGGAAGATGATGTCCTCTTGTTCTAAATCACAAACCAATAAAATATTTGTATCCTATTTCAAACCATACTTATACCTTAACCTAGTCCTTGCACAAGTACAACTCTCTCCTTTTTTTTTTTTTTTTTTACAGAAATTCACATTTCAGTGTCACTGAAATGGGCAGTCAAAAGGCTAGCCCATCTTCTTAATCTAGTTCCTATACAATACACAAATATGGTTTTTTTACCTGAATGCACATTTTAGTCAGCTGAGCCTATTTCATTGACATAAATAATGAGGTAGCAGAAACATCTTTTTGAGATGTTTATACATCAATCTAAGTCTCCATCATCCTTTATTTATTCCCTAAGGAGATAAAAATATAAATCCAAAATTCTTAGGAATACAAAATGGATGACTCACGCTTCTTGCAAAATGTATGCTTTCCATATGACCATTAAGAAATAGTGACTCTACCCTTAGGTCTCTACCACTATTTCTCTCTCTTCTTTCTGTCTCTTCAAGCTTGCTTACCCTTGTACTCATTCTTCCTTCAAATTCCTTTTCGTATGCTAAATGTTGATTCATCTCTTGCCATTTTCTACTTCATTCTTGCCTCCCAATAGATATTACATTCAGAAAAAACATATTTCGGTTACAGAAACATGCAACTCATTCTTACATAAACATTTTTTTTTCACTTCAACCACCCCATTCCTTTTTATTTTCCTTTAAATATTAACATCTTTGAGCTCAAACCATCTCTTACACTCTCTCATTTTGGGTTAGGTGGAGGATTTCCAGATAAAACTCAAGACATATAGTAAAATTTGAATTTCAGATAAACAATAATTTTTTAGTATATTACAAATAGTGCATGGATGTGTTTTTTGTGGATATTCAGGGGAGGGGGGTGGAGAGAGGAAAATTCCCCACAATGAATGTAACCCTGTGAGCAGGATAGACCCTAGGAAGTATAAAATTAGCTCAATGTGAATTAACTTGTATTGCAATACAATGGCATTTCCAAATAAAACCTGTATCTACAAAGTGATTTGATATTTTCTGACCATGAAAGTTTGAGCACTTAAGTCATAATTTTGAGAAAAACAATGTACTATATCCTTTCCATTCTGTAAAGTCTGTTTTGAATTGTATTTATGAATGATCTGACCAAGTCGTACCATTTTCTAGTATAGAAAACTACTTTCTTGTGGGTTTACTAGTAACTAAAACCAGGGCATTTTACTGTTACTGTTAAGTATTTAGAGTGAAATTTCACTCTTGCTATGTATTCAGAATGAGTACAGAATAATTTAATCAAAGAGTAAGGTAATATCCACTGAGAAGTTGATGAAACCCTCACATTGTTTGAGGGAAAATTTTAATTCACTCAAATTGACGTCTGTAACTGATAATCACAGGGCATAATAAAACTTAAGAAAAATAACCCTGGTGTTTGCCATTCACTAATATAACAGTATCTAGTTCCCTATCAGTATCATTAAGTTCAAATAAAATACAAACTAATATTCACTTCAATCTATTTTCTATAGTGACTATTTGAATATTTTCTTTAAAAAGCTGAATGTAGTGATAAATCAGATTACAACATTGTAAATTCTTTATGATATCTTTAAAAAGCTTGCAAATAGCTCATAGAGAGATATTTATTACACATATATACACATAAGAAAGATGTTTTAATGGAGGAAAAAGTTTAAATAATTTGATGTCAATGTAATAAAATATCATTAATTGTATGGGTGTTTACCTTTGGCTGGGGGCGTAAAGCCCCAGATGATTTTAATTTTCTTCTTTGCTGAGCAATATTTTCTAGATAATCTGTAATAAACACATTTTCAGCAAGTAATAAGAAACATATTTCTTAAAATAGTGTAAAAGATATTTTACCTTGTATTACTCTCATCATTTGCCAGAGGCCCAAATACATATAGATCCTATTGAGCTGTCTGTGCTTAGGAAACCCAGAATGTGAAACTAGCTGGATGATGAAATAGCAGGGAAAGGAATAATTTGTTTCCTAACAAGCTATATATAAGTCACTTCTTGAGTGAAGAATAGGTCAATTGTACTTTGTTTGGAATTGTTATTTATATTTTCAAGTGAATATGTTTAACATTTCCCCAGAGTCCCTTTCTGTAGTTCTTGATGATTGCAGCTATTTATTAGCATATGCACCCAGGCTAAACTAAAATATTCCAGGGGATGAATTTCTCAGTTTTGTAAAAAAAGTGGATTTGTGCAGGAAAACACTGCCCTCAAGCCTCTCTGCTGAGGAATTAATCTCTACAAACAGAGAAATCCCTGTTGTTCAAACAAGTTCTTAGGGCACAAAACATGGAAAATAACCTGAACTTTGTCATCACTACTCGAATATTTTTCTATGTTTGTCTGTTGAAAATTACATAGCATGTCTAATAGGACACTTTCTAAGTCTGTGAAATACTATGCAACTTTAAATGAAGCCACTTTTACTTTGATGAACTGCCACATGGCAAAGCAAGGACATAAAAATCCATTCAAATAGGTGTTATAAAACAGATTTATTAAAGAATGTATTACTACAAAATGTATTACCAAGGGACAAACAGGCATACACAGAGATAGAAATATAATTAAAATTATTACTGTAGAGTCCTATTAAATGTATGACAATCGCAAAATACTCAGCAAATACAATATTCTTATGCACATTTTTATAACTATTATATACACTCACATTTTAATACTCTCTCATATTTCACTGTGATTATAAATAGAACTACTTAGATATATTTGTTTCTTCCATACCAGTTGTTAAGGCTAAAATGAGACACAAAATAAATGATCGGAATAAAAATATCAAAGTCCATTTTATATTTATTAGAAATTGTATTCCTTGCTGTCACCCAAAATTTCACACATATCTCAGGAATGGAATAATAGGTTTGTTAGAATTCTGTCCTCTAAATAAGAGTCCTCTACCTTTACTTACATACAATGCAAGGTAAGTAAAAAATCTCTCTTTTTTAGAACACAATCATTTTGAACAACAGTTTTATATACTCTATTACTATTTGCTTATTATCTTCCACTTACTTTCAGTTTATTTTAACCACTCACATCCCACGACTACATTGAGACCCCTTCTTTAATGATCATGGATTAATTATGTCCTAATTTTGCAAAGTGTTTGAAGGATTTTCTTTTTCAGTTTGAGCCAGAACCTTATAAAAGACTGGTTATAACCTAACTACAGCTAGGAGAAATACATATCACTGACACTGCCAGCATCTTCTATGTGATGATTCACTTCCACATCTGAAGAAAAGACTAACCTATGAATCTTGGGTGTTTTTTCCTCAATAAATCAGTTCCTATTTATCCCTCTCAACTTTGATCTTCTATGTACAGCAATATGTTCTCATTTCTTTTAGATTTTCATCAAAATAGTTATTTTTTTGAATTGTTTGTAATTTTAAAAGTATAACACATGTGTAGCTGATTTTTCTTTTATCTTACTGTGGTATTTAAATCTCATTCATATATACACAACAAGGATAATGAGTAGGGGGCTTTTAGAAAAATGTGAAAACAAATACCTATATATTATCACCTAGTTTAAAATATCAAACATTAATGATACCTATGAAACCTTTTCATGATCACATTTCATATCTAACACCCAGAGCTATCCATACTTTTGAATGTCTATTTCATGTTACCTTGCTTTCTGATGAGTTTTACAAATGAACTTATTTGCTTGCTTTTGTACATTATGCAAACGTTATCACACTGTATGAACCCTAACATGGCTTATATTTTGTTGACTAATAGTATGTTGTAGAAGTCACCTATGTTTCTGTATGTGGCTAGTCCACTTTCACGGCTGTACAGTATTCAGTTTAATGGATAGCCAAATTTATTCATCCATTCTCCTCTTGGTTGAAAATTTACTTGTTTATATATGTTTGCATTTACAAATGATTCTGCTAGGAAACCTCTTATGTCTCATGTTGAACTTCTAATTTATTTATTGGGCATTTCCTTAGAAAAAAAGTTTGCTGTGGGAGGGGGTATGCATGTGTTATAGAAAATATCAATTTTTTGGCCAAATTATTCCATATTCTGTTGAACCCTCCTATGAACAGAATATGATCTCCTGAGACTCCAGATCTTCATCAAATCTTGCTATAATGCAGCTATAATATTTTCTCAGCAATATGCTAAGGCCAAAGTATGTATAATTCTGATTTTAATTTTTATTTTCCTGTTAACTAATGAAGTTAAGCATCTTTACATAAATCTTCTTGACTCACATAAGAGATTTCTTTGTAAAATGCTTGATATCTTTTATTCATTTTGTATTACATTGTCCAATTTCTACTAATTGTTAATAATTAATCATATGTTTTTGGATACCAAGGGTTTGTGGGTTTAAAAAGTTCAAACTATCCTTCCGATTTTGTAGCAATTTAGTTTATTTACTGGATTTCAGATGAACAGAAATTTTAAATTTGATTGCAATCAAACTGTTTTATTTTTATTTTTATTTTTTTGAGATGGAATCTCATTCTGTCACCCAGGCTGGAGTGCAATGGCAGGATCTCGGCTCGCTGCAACCTCTACCTCCTAGGTTTAAGCAATTCTCCTGTCTCAGCCTCCCGAGTAACTGGGATTACAGTCACGTGCCACCACGCTCAGTTAATGTTTTGTATTTTCAGTAGAGACAGAGTTTCACCATGTTGGACAGGCTGATCTCAAACTCCTGACCTCAAGTGATCCAACTGCCTTGGCCTCTCAAAGTGCTGGGATTACAGGCATGAGCCACTGAGCCCAGCCAAAACCTTTTATTTTTAATAAATGTTTAAGGCAGAATTTATTTAAAAATTTTAATAAATTTCTAATAAAGTCAGGCAGCAGAGGCAGATACTTCTGAGCCTGTGGGGGCAGGGAGTGCCCTCCTGGCCCCTGAGAGTACGGAGATGCCCAGTTCCACAGCCACAGCTTGGGCGGCTGCAGCTGCGCCCAGGAGGGTGGGGATCCTCTCTTCTCCTGAACCCCAAGAGCACAAGGATGCCTGGGGGTCCCCAGCTATGGCTGGGTGGCTGCCGCCGCATCCAAGAAGCACGAGGCTCCTGCTCTGCCAACTTAGAAGGGGCAGGGCTTCTGCCTATTCCTGGATCCCACTGGTTCAGTGGAGCACACAGCCCTGGCTGTGCCTCCCCAACTTTAGCTGGCATTATGGCAGCAGTTGCTCCAGATAGGCCACCGCTGCCATCAGAAGGACACTTCACCTATATATTATTCTTCCCTAAAAGTATAATTGTGAGATTTGTTCTCAGACTAATTTTAAGAAAATAACCAGTCCACAGACGAATTTTAAGAAAACATCAGAGCAAATCGAATTGAGAAACACTTTACAGAATACCTGACAAGTACTCCTCAAAACTGTGAAGGGCATAAAAACAGAAAAGACTAAGAAACTGTTGTGGACCAGGTAAGAGTAAGGGAGCATCATGGCAAAATGAGATGTGGCATCCTGAACTCAGTTCTGGGATAGTAAAAAGAACATTAGTGGAAAAACTTGTGAGATCAAAGAAGAATAGGAGTTCAGTTAATGGTAATGCACTAATGCTGTTGTCAACCTAAAAGTGCCTGAGACAGGTCTCAATCAATTTAGAGGTTTATTTTTCCAAGATTGAGGATGTGACCAGCGAAAAAGAGACAAAAGTTACCGTAGGATCTGTAGGATGCACTTTTTCCAAAAAGAGTTTTAAGAAGTTCAGTATTTAAATGGGAAAGAGCAGCAGGAAGGGAAAGAGGGAAGAAAAATGGAGAGTAGGGTAGGCAGTGAGGTAAGCAAATACTTTCTTGAGAGGCTTTGATTAATGCTCACTGAATCCACATTTTACGTGTTTTGCAATTTAAGTTTGTCCGATGTTTTTCTTAAAATTGGTCTGAGGAATTATGATTTTCTAAAATTTAGTCTGGGGACTAATTCCTATAATTATTATTTTGGGGAAGAATAATGTGTAATTTCATAAGTGAAAAGAAAGAAGTGGGGGAAATAAGGCAACTATGCATTCATCTAGCACTCAATAGATCTACGTTTTACATAAGATAAAATAAGTGTGTGTAATTATAGTTGTCTGTTGAACAAAGGAACTCAGCTTTTTTTCATTGACTCTGTCCCATAGCTTAACTTTTACCTTTGGAATGGTGACTTTGGGGTCCTGAGATTTTATTTTATTTTTTTCACAATGATTTCTTAGTTGTGACAACTTTAATATAGTTATTATTTTAGAAACATAGAAAAATCCTGCCTTCAGGACCCGACAAGCACAGGAAGGAGGCCAAGGAGGGGCTGAGGGTCACTCAGTGCTTGCCTGCAGGCACCTCTTGGCATGACCAGCCTGCGTGCCATGAACTGCAGCAGGAAGCAGACAGGCTCCTTGGTGGAAGGGGCGGGTCCCCAATGAAGCCCCATTTTCAAGCAAGGGAAGGCCTGAAGCCTGGGGACTGGGTTACCAGCCCTGTGGACCAGAGTGGGAACTTACAATGCTTTATCTGAGCCCATCCATGGCCATTCATGGATCAATCAGCAGAAAGAGGATGACCAACTGCTGAGAGGAGCTATCCACTCCAGGGTCTCCTCTCTGCTCAAAGCTGAGAAGAAGACAGCACAATCTGCCTACAGAGAGGAGCTACCCACTCCAGAGTCTCCTCTCTGCTCAAAGCTGAGAAGACGACAGGAAAATCTGCCTGCAGAGAGGAGCTACCCACTCCAGAGTCTCCTCTCTGATGAGAGCTGAACACTCATCAGGACACCCTGGCTGCAGAGAAAATCTACCTACTGTGGGTCTCCTCTGAGCTGTTCTAGCACTCAATAAATCTCCTTTTCACCTTGGTCACCATCCTTTTGTCCATGTGCCTCATTCTTCCTGGGCACAGGGCAAGAGCTCAGGACTCACCGAAAGGGGGCGCTAAAATAGCTGTAACACAAACAGGGCTGAAATATGCCCCTTGGTCACCATGCTGCAGATGACAAGGAGGAGAGAAGAGCTGTGACCCTTTGAGGAGCCTCGACTTAGGAGCTCCCTGAGCCAGGGCTGTG